GAATTCATTTAAACAATTAATGGGGGTTTCTCCCCAATAATGGAACTCACCCTTCCATCTCTTTTCTTCTTCTTAGAATCAGGTTCCACCGGCCCAAGAGACTTCAATTCTTTCGCTAACTTCATCTTGGTAGCTCCACTTTGAGAGATCACTTCCAAATGAACAGGTACATTTTTGTCTCCTTCCAAACCATCTTTCTTTGAATTCACATCTTCTACATACTTGTCATTATTTTCATCTTCACTGCAATCAGCTAAAACAGAAAATCTGTTAATAGATTGAACTTCAGCTGGTTTAATCCCCTGACATTCAGCGGCCGTTGAATCAACAATAGGTTTATTAACTGAATTCACAACATTCTCCTCAGTCACCAACTTTTCTTTGTTAACTATTTGAGTCCTCGGCCGATTGGTGTTTGCTCTGTTTTCCATATTTTTCTTCTCCCCCACAACTTTGCTTTACAAAAAGTTGCTGTTCAACCTCCTCTTGTTTTTGAACTGCACATGTATCCATGGGCCAAATTCTAAATTAGTAATGACTTTCTTCCCGTCTATAACTTCAGATTTATCAGCCTTATTATCATCATCTGGCTTCCCATTTTTTTGATTCAGAATTCCAATTGATACATTTTCTGGACAAGAATTTTCTTCATGACCCACTTTGCTACAATGATAGCAAAGAAGATCAATCTTCTCATATTCCACACGTTGAAAAAATCTGCCAGCCAAGCCTTCAACCCACACACCATTTAATATCTTCTTCTCCAATTCAATTCTAACACAAATACAGGCAAATTCACATTTCCCCCATCGAAATGTATTACGATTAAAATACATAGGTGTTCCGATACAAGAAGCAATCCTTGCCAAATTATCTTCATCCCAGCAGTATAGTGGTAAGTTCGGGAGTCTGATCCACACTGGGGCTGATATACCCATGAAAGAATTAGGATCGAATTCAGGACACCATCTATCCATACCAACAATGAATCCACTAACATACCAAGGTCCTCCATTCAAAATTTCTTCCATCGCCTCATTCATCTTGAATGAACAGAGTATCCAGTTCATGACCATGGAGGTTATATAAAATCCCCCATATTTGCTCCACTGCTTTCTCAATTCGATACTACAAATTCAGAATGGAATGTTACTTCCCAGGACTTTAAGAACAATTGAATTCTTCAGAATTTCAACATTCTTCACCACCTTATCAGAGTTCATCTTCACTGCCATTCCATCATCAGTAAATTTTAGTTGATCCTTGTTGAAAGATATCTTGATATGCTTAGGCTTCGACCAAGCCTCAGCAATCTCATTTTTGTTACCCTGGATAACTGAATCACTCAGACTATCCTTCATGATCAAGGGAATATCATCATTCTTCAAATGACCTGCATCCACCATCATAATATTATCCACATTCTGATCTTCTATCAGCGAAACATTCTTCTCAACATTCCGATCCTTCTTCAAATCAAGAACTCCAGCGAAATTGTTAACTCGTAAGGTAAAATCCTCTGAAACAGTCGGTTCAAGAACAGACAACTCTTTATTTCTATCTTCATCAAGATTCTTTGAAGCAACACAATCATTCAACAAGACATTCTTTCCCTTACCTTCCACTACAATCGAACGGCATTGAGGCTTCATTCCTTCTCTGATTACGATTCCATTAGACGCTTTTCCAGTAGCTCGTAAAGAGCCAGATGAACGTTGGACGTTCATGAATCAACGACGAAGAACCGCCGACGAAGCACCGGCGTCGCTTCCTGCTTCTCCTCCTTCTTCCGCGGAATTCCCGCGGTAACAGAAATTCAAAAAACACACCTGAACGCTTTCTCTCTCTAAAAAAAAAATTCATTCCCTAATCACATGACCAGTTTAGGTAAGATTTAATTACATCATACATCATGATACATATTGTCCAAAATGATGAGTAAAAATTTTGAATTTCAAAATATTGTCTAAATTGAGATTAGCGTTTGGGATCCTTATTTTGAAAGGTTTGTCTTCTATGATATACATCATACTATATGATTAGTTCATAATGCATTAAGTATTCAAATTAGACATTTTAATCAATTTCTAATTAGCTAACATAACCGTATGATATATATCATACATTATAATTAGTTCAAAAAATCCAACTTATTATATTATCACTAACTCACTCCCTTGAGTGTGTGTGCATGGTTTTCATGCTTAGTATCCACCAAATACATGGTTTGACTCAAGCAAGATAAAAATACATAAGAATTGAAAAAAGCATACTCTTCATAACATACTTAACCCTAGTATACAAATCTTGACCTGATCAAAATTATAAGTGTACGGTGGACCTGAAATGTTAATGCATAGGAAAAAAATGCAATAATAGCAATTAACCAGAGATAATATAGTAAGAAATCCAATAATATTTGTTATCATCAAAATCATAGGAATTTGATCCAGATTTGCTATAGATGGATTCTTCTACTACTAAGGTCCTTTTGTTAAAGATCCTATTGACTTGACCTACTAAGGAATAACCTAAGAAGACTCATTCATTTGCATCAAACTTCCCTAAATGATATTTACCATTAATAAAGATAAGACACTTACATCTAAATACATGTAAATGCTAAAGATTTGGTGTCATACCATTAAATAACTCATATAATATCTTATTCAATTTGGATCTAATTTTCACCCAATGTAGCACATAATAAACAATATTCACTACTTTAGACCAAAAAAATTTAGGTAGGATATACTCAGCTAACATAGCCTTGATAGCCTCCATTAGTGTCATATTCTTTTATTCAGTTATATAATTTTACTAGGTGTCCTAGGAATAGAAATTTTATGATAAATTCCAGACACAATATAAAATAATTCAAATCTATCATTATCAAATTCTTCACCATGTTCGCAAAAAATTATAGAAATCAAACAACCTAACTTTCTTAAAATACAAGTGGAGAAAACCTTAAAATCATTAAAAGACTCCCTCTTATGTGATAAAATTCTAACCCAAGTGAATACAGAGAAGTCTTCAATGAACATACAACTAAAGCTCTTACCACATAGACTGGTTGTATTAATGGGTCCAAATAAATCTATCTGAGGGATCTCTAGTGGTATAATGGTAGAGATATCCTTAACATAATAAAAGGATGACCTAGTTTGTTTTCTTAATTGTAGGAATCACATTAATAATCCTTAAAGAAATCTAGCTTTGGAATGCAACTTACTAGGTTATGCTAGTTAATGTTTCTAATGACTTTCATACTCGTATGACATAGTCATCTACATTATAGCCATATTCATCCAAAATAGTGGTTCAGTCTAACCTGACCTACATCCACTCCTCAGAGGAATCCTCCAAGTATTACACTAAACCTTTAGTGACTCTCCTTTAACCCATACAGGTAGGAGGAGATGCCCTTACAAAGTCACTTCCACCTTCCTCGATGCAGCGGAGGAGCCGGATCCTTTGACACCAAAGAGATTTTCTACTTCGCAAAACTTCCCTCAAGATGAACATTGAATATGATAGTATTAAGGTACAAGCTTGCCGGAGTAATCGTATGAAATACCCCCCCACATTCCCTTGAAACCCCCTCTAAGGATCTTCTCCCTTTCTCAAACTCCACCCTTTTCTCTCTCCCTTTCAAGTTACCTCTTCAAGTTTTCAATAAAAGAATTAAGCTTCAATGGACGCCAAAGACACTTACCAAGTGTCATGATAAAGCTTAAAAGAGGGCTTTAAAAAACACTAAAAATCAATCGTTGAAAAAAATATCATCCAGGATGATCTTAGGATCGTCCTGTACGATGTGCTTAAGAAAAGGGGTTCAGAAAACTCTAAAACTCAATTCTAACAAAAAATTCATCCAGAATGATCACAGGATTATCCAATATGATGTGTAGAATTTGACATGATAGTCCTCGATGATACTAAAATAGTCCTAGATGATCAGTTCAAATTTGTACAGATTGTCCATGATGATATTGTGAATTGTCCTTGATGATTTAACAAAAAATTATGATATTTCATTTTGGACAATTTAGGAAAATCAAATATAATTGCAAACATCATCCAGCACGATATACAAATCTTCCAAGATGATCTGATAAAATAATTTAACCATAATTAGTCCCCTAATCACATGATTAATTTAAGCATTATTGGTATTGATTATCCAGGATGATCTTGAGCATCTGGGATGTTTAGAACAAAAATTGAATCTTAAAATCTTGCCTAAATTATAATTGGCAGCTATTTTCCAAGATCATAAAGGATCATTCTTGACGATCCAAAATCATCCAGTATAATTAGTTAAACATAGTGATCATCCTAGACGATCAAAATCATCCAGTACAATTAATTAAAAACTTGAACTTTTAGTTTTGACTAGTTCTCACTCCTCTTAGTGTATATGAACATGACATAAAGCTAGAAAACACCTTTACAAGACTTGACTCAAGAAATAAAAATTACATTAATGAATATTACAGACCCTTTACAGCATAACCTTATTCAACTCATTCTTGAGCTCTGATTCTTTATTGGATGTTGCATGGTTTTCCTGAAATGTTAGTATATACACAAACAAATATAGAATTAATAATATTATGACATATAAAGATGTTTGTTATCATCAAAAATATAAAACTCATGAGCTAGAGTCATAATAATCTCCCCCTTTTTTATGATGACAAATATTACTGATGAAGTTATAAACTAGAAGTATTTTCTCTTAAACTCGCCCTCACTATTTTAAAAAATTAAAAATAGGGAAAAAACAAATTTTCTTTCTTTTTTAGTTTTTCTTATTTTTTAAAAACAAAATAAGTAAAATATATTAAATAACTAATTAAAGATAAACTAACATAGATACACAAAAATAATAGTACGTTCTCCCTCTTTGACATTATCAAAAAGAAGAGGAGCACATAAAACCAAAATAGTAAAAATTGACTAACAAAACATCAAATAATCTCTGATCGGGTTAAGATAGTATTTTTAGAACAATCAGTTTCAAATTTCATATTTTCTTAATATGAGAAAGATACCTTTTGAATTTATTCATAAACTTAGTAAGGAGTGTATTGACAACACATAACCCAGAAATGTTAGAAATTTAGAAATTGCTAATCCAAGCTCAAGTTATTTTAAAGACTAAAAAAAAATTAAGCCAATATCTAAATCTAGGAATAAATTAGAAAAGAAAACACTAATCTTTTCAAAAATCCTTTCATGAAATATTTCTAATAGAAGATTAATACAAAATTGCTGAATCAAGAATCATGATTTTTAAACTCAAGTATCAAAAATATCAATAGATAAAGAGTTTTCTTAATATTTAAGAAATAAAAGAAGGATAAGCTTACTTTTTGTGTGCTCATTTTTTGCCTCTTGTTAGTTGTTTGGCGTACTTTATGCATCATTTGAATTTTCATACACTTTGTATATCTTTCTAAATTTGACGTCATTACTTATCTTTTGATTTTTGATATACTTTATGATTCTTTCTAAATTTGACGTCATTGCGTATCTTTTCATCTTTTGGCTAATTTTATGACTCTTTTCTTTTTAACAAATATGCTTCCTTTTTATAATTTTAAAAACTAAAGCAAACCCATTTTAGTGATAAAAATGAACTACTTAATTAAGAAAATACTAAGGTTGATTCAACAACTTGCCAACTATCCCTATGAGATAGAAAAATTTAGGGAGATGAAAAAGTTCAATTTCAAAATCCAACATATAATCTGATAAAGATTTTGAATCAAAAGTAAAATAGCCTTATTAACAAATGAGAAAGAGAAATAAAATTATGAGTTTCATTCCTTTGATTGATTTTAAAGAAATCAACTACAACTTAAAACAATTTGACACAAATAGGAGGTAAATTTTTCATTTTTAGAATAAAATTTTTTTTAAAAAGGTTTGATTTTCTAAAGTCTATATGAAATAATAAAAGTGATATATGTGTGTGTTGATCGGAGAAAACTTCACAAAAAAATAAAGACTAATTTAAAATTGTAATGCAACAAAAAAAACTAAGAAGAAAAAATTAACCTGAAAA